TGAACCCCTCGACCTCCTGTCTTCTGCCCCCTCCAGGACCCCCGCTTAGAGGGAGCAGTGGTCTTTCTGTCTTGTCTTCAGTAAGATACCCCATGGTGCCTGGCACGCGGTGGGTACCATACGGGTGAGGGAGCGGAGGGCCGTGGGCGCCGCAGGTAGCACCCACGGAATTGGCATTTCAGGAATGCGCAACGGGGTTGTTTGGGCCCGACCTGCACACACTGATGAGTTTAAATGGGTGACCAAGAAGGAGCTAGCGTACAGTGCCGGGAACTCTGCTCCGAATCAGCTAACCGTCTGACTGCGAAAGGAATCTCACAAAGACGCTTGCACAGGTATGACTGAGCTGCAAGCATCGTCCATCAGCTGTGCTCCGATAGGAAACTAAAAGTTTAGAAAAGGGGACTGTTTCAGATTCACCACAAACGGTGAATCTTGCCCTGTGGGTCTTGCCCCATTGGCCCCATCCCCAGCATGGCCCCTTCCGCCAGCATATTGGGTGCCACGTGTGTGGAGTCCTCCAGCGCTGCTGCAAGAGGGCTTTCTCCCTCAGAAGTGACGAGAACCCTTGTTCTAGAACAATGTTTCCCACCCTCTGTGGACCCAGAGCCCAGTAAGCGTGTGTGCTAAGTCGCTTCCGTTGTGTCTGACTCTTTGCAACCCCATGGACTGTAGCCCACCAGGCTCCTCTGTCCATGGGGCTCCCCAGGCAAGAATGCTGGAGTGGGCTGCCATGCCCTCCTCCAGGGCATCTTCCCGACCCAGGGATCAAACCCGCGTCTGGATTGGCAGGCGGATTCCTTACCGCTAGTGCCACCTGGGAAGCCCAGTTATAGTACCTGCGTGCCCCATCAATGTCGCGTGGCCCACGGTTTGTAAACCGCATTTAAAGTACAGTCCTTACCTTACCAACACACAGCCCAGCGAAGAGACCCCCGCTGAAGGCGGGATGCTGGGCAGGCTGGCCCGTGCAGGCCTGCTGAGCTGCGGGACACGGGGACACGGGAGACGCTCTGGGCTGCCGGGGGCGGTGCCAGGCCCTGACCTCTCAGGGAAAAACAGGTCACCTCTCGAAGTCGGGTTGAAGGTTTAATTGATGTTTTTCTTCTCTTTCTCTCTTGTTTTTAGCCTTTCTCACTAATCAGTTCTTTCTGCAATATAGGTTCTCCTGGTCTACCTTTCCTGTTATGTACTGATGTTTTTATTGCTAACAAGGGATTGTCTGCTAATTCTCCAGGTGCTTTTTAATTAAACCAATTGGCTTCATCCGAATGTTTTCATTCCTTTTTTCTTTTACTTTGCACATTAGTTTTCTCAAACTATGTATGTGTTTGTGTGCATAAGAAAGCTCTTCCTTGACAGACTTTTTTTTTGTCTTAAATATGTATTTTATATGAAATATATATCATATATAAATGTTTTACATATATTTATATTTGTTATATTTATAATATTTATATTAATATCAATATAAATATGTTGCTGCTACTTCACTCAGTTGTATCCAACTCTGTGTGACCCCATGGTCTGTAGCCTGCCAGGCTCCTCTATCCATGGAATTCTCCAGACAGGAATCCTGGAGTGGGTTGCCATTTCCTACTCTAGGGGATCTTCCCAACCCAGGGATTGATCCCATGTCCCTAGCATCTGCTGCACTGGCAGGCAGATTCTTTACCGCTGTAAATATAAATATATTTATAAATATATATAAATATATTTAAAGAGGTAAATGGATCTATGGATAGAGATCTTTCTTCCCTTATTGTTTTGAATTCCTTAACATTTAATGGTGCATGGTCCTCTGTTATTATGATAAAAAAATCCATATTGGAACTTTAGATGAGATGCATATAATTCTAAAAACTCTGACCCTCAAACTTATTACACAACTCTAATCAAATTACATCCTTTTCTCTCCTGTGAGGGGCATTAAATGTAATTTTTCCTGGCTGAATAAACTTGAGCATTCTCTGCTCTGCATATTTCCATGTTAAAAGTTTTTAAGTCAACCTTCTTACTATTCTGAGCTGTTACATGAGACCAAGGAGAATGCTTGCAAATCAGACACGGGGCCAGTCTCCCCCGCTCCTGCCAAGCTCTGCCTGCAGCTCTGTCTCTGGTGGAAAAGCACTGGAGGGGTTAGAGGGATCCTGGGCGCCCCCGTGGGTGTATCCTGAAGACGCTTTTTAGGCTCATTTCTTTCCTCTCTGAAAATTCTGCGTATGAGATACTGAAATTAGCGTCTGGTCTGTGGAGATCTATCCCTGTTCCCAGGCGCGCTCACTGTGAAATGCAGAACTGATCAAGGTGGGGACCGTGATGGCCCCAGGAGGAGGCCTGCAGCGAACGGATGCTGTGAGCACGTGCTGACCACGCTTGGAGGTGAACCTCAGCCTGACGATCATCGTGCAGAGACCTGGGCAGAAGGAGACTTCTAGCAGGGGGTCAGACCTGGCCTCCAGGGCCAGGAGACAAGTAACATGGAGTGAGGGGTGATGGAATGAAGGAGGCCTTGGAAAGTGGGAAAGCTCTCCAGAGGGCCCTTGCTGAACCCGTGCAAAGGCGTCGGGGGCAGGCTGCTACTTGTCCCTCATGGGCCAGGTCTGTTTACCCGCGCGCCGTCCGCGGCCTCCGCTGGAACCTGGTGCTGCTTTTTCATGTTGGGGGTATCAGATACGGAAAGCATTGCCCGGCCGGCTTCACCTCTGTGCTTCTGTTCAAACAGAATTGTCCTTGACCCCCTCCACTGTTTACTGAGTGCCTTTACCTTCTCCACTGTTCCAGTTTCCTGTCTGCCCTCCTAGGCCCCACAGCAGTCTCTGGGGGAGGGGGCGGTCTTTATTTTGCCAGTGAGAAAGCCAGGACTTTCTCGGGGACCTTTATTTGCCCAAGGACACGCAGGAAGCATCTGGCCTTAGGACTGTGTTCTCACTAAAGCTCCTCCGGCCCCTGGTACCTGGATGGCTTACCTTGTGGACCGCCTCTCCCACCCCAGTCCTGCGGTGTTTTTCCCGTTTTCTTTTGGTAAATAATAGTGTGGTATAATCCACAAGATACCAAGGGTTGGGAGAAACCACATTCTTGGCTCATTGTTATTTCCCTTCATTTCTTTGTCATATTTCTAGTCCCTGTAAGACTAAACGGCTCCACCCTGAAAACCACCTTGATGAAAACAAAAGCTCCCATGTGGTTCCCAGAACCGAGATAATCTCCCTGTGGAAATGTCTGGGTTGCACATGGGCGCTGGCCCTCCATCCAGAGGCCCAGGGCCTTGTCTTCAAGGGGATCAGAAAGCAGTCCCACGCTGCACAGCTTGTTTTCCAAGGACAGGATGGAAGGGCCAGGTCTGGTCTCTTGGTGGCCTGATGATTTACCCGGGAAGTGTCATTACTCAGAAGTGAACTCTTCTGGGCTTGAAAATGTGTGCATGGAGGGAAAGGCCACGTAAGGACACTGAATTTTCCAAAGTTGAAATCATTCATATCTTTAAACATCCGACTGATTAAACTGGGAACTTTGGTGTTTAGCCCAGGCAGGTTGGCCCGACTGGGACTGTGTTGGGGGGGTCAGGCCTGCACCTGTGATGGGGGTGGTCGGAGGCTTTGAGCATCTCGCTTTGCTCAGCGCACTGGTGCTGTTGAGCATAGAGAACGTGAATGGGTTCTGTGAATATGTTGGTAAGTAAACCGTTTGGTCGACTGGTGACTGAATGACACATTTTTTAAAGTTCTTTATAAAGATTTTGGGAATAACTTACATTTAGTGCTCCTTCTAATGGATTTTCTTGGGCTTTTTTTTCTCCTGCCCAATAGGTAAATGATTTTCTTGTTTGCTTTCTAGATCTTTCTGTAGTACAATAGTTGTGAAAATTAGAGGGTCCGTTGGCTGGAACTGTGGGGCGGGTGTGGGTTTATATAATTTGACTTCTTTTCTCTCCAAATCAGTAAATATTTACACATGACGTTATCAAACAGCTTGGGTACATTTGGTCACTTGAAAGGGGAGCAGCCAGTCCCAGCGGGTCTCAGAGGTGAGGCTTCCATGTGTTTTATAAAATGCTGGGCTCAGAACACAAGCCTCCAACTGAAAGTGGGCCTGAGACTGAGTCCTCCACTTTCCATGGAACCAGTTTGATAAGATTTGCATTTTTATAAAGTTTATGACTTCTGAAGATTGAGGTCTAGATCCAGAATTGAGTGATCAAAAAAATAAACACTGGATTCTGGCTAAAGACTGACCACTGCCGCCTGAGATCTTTTTGTTTCCTGGGGACGGTCATTACAGAATTCTTTTGTAAGCAGGAAAAAAACAAGTGGGTTACTTTTCTGTTTTTGTAAAGTGGCACCAATGTAATATGGTTTGAAAAATCTCGCTCTTGAATTTTCAAAGCAGAAATGGAGTTTTGAGGGTGTCTCTACCCTCTGCTTCTCTCAACCCTTAATAGCTGACAAATTTGAAACTCACTTTTTTAAAGAGAATACGTGTTTTTCAAAGTTGACACTGGAAAATAATACCGTAACTGAGGGTTTTGGTATGTAGGATATGAAAATGACAATATTGTTGTAGCAACCTCACCTGGAAATAACATTCATTTTGTCAAACTTCATGTGAGTACACGGAAGTGCGCAGCATGCTGTTTAAAGGTCAAGAGCACCGTAGTTAAGGTTGGCAGACAGTTAACAAAGAAGTAAGAGGCTTTAAGAAAAACCAGTTACTGTGATGAGAGCTATACACCTGCTTGTGCTGTGCTGAGTCGCTCAGCTGTGTCTGACTCTGCAACCCTGCAGACTGCAGCCCGCCAGGCTCCTCTGTCCATGGGATTCTCCAGGCGAGAATCCTGCAGTGGGCTGCCAGGCCCTCCTCCAGGGGATCTTCCCTGGTCTCCCACAGTGCAGGCGGACTCTTCACTGTCTGAGCTACCAGGGCAGCCCACACCTACTTCCTGCACAATAGCTGCTGTCTCTGTATTAATAACTTTTTAATTTTTATTTTCTCTGCAGAGTATCGGGAAAGGGTCATTGTGGTGCATAGACCCAGAGTATAGACAAAATCTAATTCAGGCTTTGAAAAAGACACCTTATCACCCACACTCGAATGTGTTCAATACACCTCCCGCCTCTCCTCAGGCATATCAAAGGTAAGCCATTCAGACTTTTGTTTTGTTTTCAAGTTCCTTTTTGTCTGTTTTTTGGTCTACTGAAGTTGTATTATTTTGGAAGAGACAAGCACTAATAGACTCTATGACTTTAAAAATAACTGTAGAAAATGAGAAAGAATTAAGTATTCTTGGTGGCATTATCCGTTTTTGTCTTTTCTGCAAACCTTACCGCGTCTGCTGCTTGGGAGGAATGCGTCTCCTTCTGGAAGGCTCCATGGTGGGTGAAATAACGTCTCCCTGGGTAGACACGTTTGCACAGGAAAGCTGACAGCCTCAGCGTCAGAGCATGTGGTGGTTTGTAGGGATGGGAGTCCAGGAGTGAGTCGGGTAAGCGATGTCTGGCTTCCCCTCCTCTGAGAGTGTCTCCAGCTGTTTGAGGGAAGGACGCCCTGAGTTGTTGCCATTCCCCGTCTCCATGTGGACGGTGCCCCGGGGCGATCGCTTTGTTTGGGTTCCTTGGTGTTTGCCTCTTCGAGGAAAACAGCAAAGGACCACAGAGACTTGGACTGCTCCTCGCGTACCCCTTTGTTTTCAGACAGTGAGGTCATGGATGCCGTTTTTACAGAGATGGAATAGGAGGGGAGGTTATGCAACCTGTCACTTAAAAACAAAAAAATTGGTTCACGTTAGAGTCTATCAAAGTAGCCACATAACATGGAACCAGCTCTTAGAATGGGTTTCCTCTTGTGTAGCGCTTGGGTTAGACATCTGTCCGTCAGTGCTACCCAGAGAGTGTTTTTTCTTTCTTTCTTTAATGTGTAGAGATGTTTCCCTTGTCACCACCCAGTTAGGAGACGTGAGCCTTGGGCTCCACGATTGTACCCACGAGGAACGGCGTGAATTCATAGATGGCCGTGGTTTCACAGCCAGCGTCGTTACAGACTCTTTCCCTGGACTGAGGGAGCACAGAGTGGTCCTGTGAAACAGCGTTGATGAAGTTCTTGCGCATCTCGGTGAAGCATTCCATCACAGGCCCTGGACAATCAGTCTTCAGCAAGAGACGGAGAGGAACAGCTGGGCTCTCTGAGAAGACTGCTGTATGTCTGCCTTTGCTAGGCGATTAGCGTGATGGTAGCCATGGCAACTGCAGCGTCTCCATAGTAACGCGTAGCTGAGACAGGTGCAGTTGCATCACAAGGCTGTTTGTTGCCTGGCAAAAGGACAGGCCATTAGTACTTAGATATACGCTGTTGCCTTAGAAACAAATAAGCCTACATAGCAACTACAGTTGGTTTGAAAGATTTGGGGGGGGAGAAAAAAGATTGTAGCCGCTTTTGTCTATGTTCATAAAAATCAGTGGAAGCATACTTTATTGGAAATGACAACTTGAGGTCATATAGCTGTAGGAGATGAAGTGGGATTTTCCAAACCAGCCCAGCCAACGCTGTAGAAATGTCCAGAAGGGCAGAGCCATATGCTTGGTTTTTTTCCTTGTGGTCATACCCCTCCTGAAATGGGAGGAAGCTGGGACTGGAGTGGAGACTGGCCTGATACACGAGGTTCATGGGGGAGACGAGGGGCCTCATTATTGGAGTAATTCCCAGGTTCTCATATTCCTTTTGTCAGTCTGCTCCCCTCACCCTCCAAACCCCCACAGCAAACCCTTCACTTTGCTCCCAGCTTGTACCTCGGAAGTATTTCATATCCTTTTGCTTCTAAGAAGTTAAGAACATAAGTGTTATTCTCTGGGTCATATCGTGGGTTCATTTAGACCAGTATTTTGTTGCCAAATGTGACCCCAGGGGAAGCACAGTAATTACTGAATAATTTGAAGGCTTATGGCAGGGCTCTGGGGGTTACAAGAGGAATGCATACTCGGGAGAGAGGCTCTACGTGCTGGCCTAAGCATAATGACTTTTTTAACACAGGCGTAAAAACGCGGATCAACTGGAACTTGTGTGATGAAGATAATTTCCAAACAAAAATGCGCCAGATCCCAGTCTGTCACATCCAGTTCCTCTTCTCCCAGATGACTGAGGGAGGTGGAAAGTTTCCATCTCTACCCATGCCAGGGCTTAGATTTCACCTTCATAAAGGTTCCTGGATGTGGGGTGAGAAGACATACCAGGTTCTAGCCTGCCTCTTCCCTGTCTTAACTGTCACTTTCTTAACTGTCACTTAACAAGTCACTTTCTCTTTCCTGGGGACTGCGGTCCCTTCATCTGAAAGCTGCGAGCTGGCTTCGCTGTCCTCTAGTGTGGAAGGTTGTACTAAGGGTCCAAAGTGCTGGATGGTTGGACGGTATCTGTACAGCTGACGGAGACGTGTTCGGTTCCGTTTTAAAGCCTTGGGCCGCTTGCGGTTGTGACTTGCGAAAGATGCAAGAGTGACAAAGCGAGTGGTTAAACAGGGGCCACCCGTGATGACTTGACGCGGTCTGGCTGGGTCCTCTGTGACGCAGGGGACCTGGGAAGCACCTGGATCTCCCGGAGCTGGTCCTCAGCATCTGAAGTGGTGACTGCGCTAGACGGGCGGTTACCGCTCGGACTCGGAGGTGCGCTGGGCACGGGGTGCCCTGCAGCGAGCGGCAGGGGCCTGGAAACTCTGCAGGGAGGACGAAGCATCTGAAAGCACTGCCCCCCCCAACCTTGCCCACGTCCAGATGGAGTGCTGAATGTCGCCACGCCGAGCCTCGTGCCTCTGTTTTCCAGGGTCCGCGTTCGGGTGCTTGTGAGAAGCATCGCCCTGACCTCTGCCTTCATCTTCAGGGTCGTGCGCCTTGTCCTTCCCGTGTGCTGTGTCCACGTCTCCCCTTTTTGTAAGGACATCAGTTATGCTGGATTCAGGGACACCCTTTTCAGTATGATGCACTCATTACATCTCCGATGACTCTGTTCCCAAATGGGGTCATGTTTTGAGATACTCGTAACCAAGACTTTAACGAGAAACTTTTCTGTGGGGTGGGGGTTGAATACACAGTTCACCCCCTAACAGCTCTTAAGTAAGGCATCTCACTGATAAAAATACAGAAAAGCAGAAAGTTAAGGAAGTGTTCAGAAAACAAGGATGTCTTCGGTCTACCCGAATTTGCCCCAGTAGCCAAAGCTGAGACAACTCAAACAAGAAATGAGTAGCACAGCATCGGGGATTTAACCCCGAATATCAAATCCGTACGTATGAGTCCACACTGTAATGGATTCATGGTGGACTGTGTAGTGGACTATGTAAATCAAATATACTTATATTTGAGCATATAAATAAATGCTCAAATAAATGAGAGTAGAGACAAATTGCCCTTATGGAAGAATTGTAAATAATTTATGTAGATATTTGTCTGTTCAAGGAATTGGAGTTTTAACTCCCTACCTTTTGAGTGGCTGCACTTGGTGACTTATTTCCAAAGAGCAGTGTCTGGAAATGGGGGTGGAAAAGGAAGTTTCCGGTGAGAAAGCCTGGCAGTTGCTACCTTGGCCAGGTGATCAAAGCTAACACCGTCTGTGATGTGACGCTGACAGCACGCACCTTTGATACAACAGCAAGAAGTTGTCACTCCACCCTTGTCCTCCTCCTCAACATCGGTAACTCCAGTGCAGTCAGAGAAAGGTGCCAGGCAGGGTCTTGTCCCCAGGGGGGAGGGGGTGGAGACATCCTTCAGAATACCCAATCAGCTGGGTTTACAGCTGTTAGGTCATCAAAAACAAGGCAAGTCTGAGAAAAGCTGCTACAGGTCAGGGGAGGCCACAAGGACATGGGATCTCTTGGATAGGTTCCTGGGCTTCCCACGGGGCACAGGTGGTAAAGAACCTGCCTGCCAATGCAGGAGACATAAGAGACGCAGGTTCGATCCCTGGGTCAGGAAGATCCCTGGAGGAGGGCATGGCAACCCACTCCAGTGTTCTTGCCTGGAGAATCCCACGGACAGAGGAGCCTGGCGGGCTATAGTCCTTGGGATCGCAGAGAGTCAGGTATGGCTAAGGATAGTTTCCTGGAAGAGGAAAAAGACATTAGGGGAAAACTAGTGAAATAGGAATAATGTGTGTAGTTCAGTTCAGTTCAGTCACTCAGTCAGGTCCGACTCTGTGACCCCGTGGACTGAAGCAAGCCAGGCCTCCCTGTCCATCACAAACGCCCGGAGCTTGCTCAAACTCATGTCCATTGAGTCAGTGATGCCTCCAACCATCTCATCCTCTCTCGTCCCCTTCTCCTCCCGCCTTTCTTTCCCAGCATCAGGGTCTTTTCCAGTGAGTCGGCTCTTCGCATCAGGTGGCCAGAGTATTGGTGCTTCAGCATCAGACCTTCCACTGAACACCCAGGCCTGATCTCCTGTAGGGTGGGCTGGTTGGCGCTCCTTGCAGTGATAGTAACACGCCTGTGTTGGTTCCTCAGTTGTGACGAGTGTTCCGCAGTGACCTAAGGTGTTAACTGCAGGCAGACTGAGTGTAGGGCTAAGAGAACTCTCCGTAACGTCTCTGCAGCTTTGCTGTTAAAGAGAAGGCAGTCCCCAGATCACAGCCCGGAGTCGGTCAGCTTTGTGTCCACGTCCTTTCTGTCACGATGGAGAGTAGAAAGCACAGCAGTTCACCCGACCCATTTGGAGTCACTGTCACCATCGCGACAAGACATCTGGAGAGCTGACATCAGGGCTTCTACCTCGTTCTCCCCAGCATCTCCTGGGCTGTACAAGGGGCTTCTCTGTAGGTTCTCAGAACTTTATTCTCACGAATGGTCCTCAGCTGTGCCTGGGAAGGGTCCCCGAGGCCTAGTGGCCCGCGCAGTTCAGCTTCCTTCTTTTCCCAGCTTTCGCCAGCATGGTGTTCAGACTTTAGACCTGGAAGGAGGAGGGGAGAGGGTGCATTTGGGTGTCTTGCTTCTTACTTCTTCCAGAAAGTTCTTATCTATTTTCATGGTTTTGTTGCCTCTGCCCCTCCTTCATTCAAGAAACAAGGATTTCTTGTTAAAGGATGTGCATATTTTAATGCTTTTGATATAAAGATCACCAAATTGCCTTCTGCTTTTAAATTCTGTTCCAGTCTGCACTC